AACCTCGTCCGCACCGACTCCAAAGTCCGCAAAATCACCTCCATGCTCACCCCCGCCACACCACACACGCCCACAGCCTCCCAAGCAGACACGACCGTCCTCGACGAAGGCCTCCAATACGAAACCACCTCCCGCGAACCCCACCGCATCAGCTTCACATCCGTGAAGAACCTCCGTGCCTCCGTACGCAACGCAATGCACAACACCCTAACTGAAACCATCGCCTCCCACACCTACGTCGGCCTCGTCGACGAACGTCGTCGGATCGCGGCCATCCAATCCGGCGTAAAACTCTACCTAATCGACTACGGCATGTTCTGCACCGAATTCTTCTACCAGATCGGCCTTACAGACTTTGCCAACTTCGGAGTCATCAAGCTGTCCCCACCACCCAAACTCATCGACCTCCTCCGAATCGCCGCAGACACCGAACGCAACCAATCCTCCCAAGAATCAACAACAACAGAAGAAGCCAACGAAATCTTCACCAACGCCCCCGACCTCGTTGCTGAAACCCTCATCGACCGCCGCGAAATGCTAAACGAGTACTTCTCCCTTGACATCTCGCCTGAGGGGGACCTTCTCTCCATCCCCCTCCTCCTGAAAGGCTACCTCCCCAGCCTGGGAAAACTGCCCCGATTCCTCCTCAGACTAGGTCCCTATGTCGATTGGGCAAACGAGGAGGAATGCTTCCGCACGTTTCTGCGAGAGCTTGCGGCTTTTTATACCCCTGAACAGTTGCCACCGCCTCCGAAACTGCAGAATGGTAATGAAGCAGAAGGGGAAGGAGAAGGGGAAGATGAGTTTATTACGCAGAGACGGGCGCAGATGGCGCGGATGCTGGAACATGTGGTTTTCCCGGCTCTGAGGGCGCGGATGGTTGCTACGACGCGGCTGCTCCGGGGGGTGGTGGAGGTGGCGGATTTGAAGGGGTTGTATAGGGTATTTGAGCGGTGTTGAATTAGCTGAACAAGCCGATATTATGTGATTCATGGGTTGTGAAAGAGTGTATCTCGAATTCAGGAGTAATGAGTACGTGACTACATATGTCTAGCTTGTTGAAGAAATGTATCATATAATACGGTAACTGCTGGATAGTTCTGAGACTACTAGTAACTTTGCTCAGTTATTCAGTTATACAGATACAGTCTTTAGTAGTTAACCAGGACAAAGATACATTAGTTATACAGTCTACTACTCGTACTGTAATAGGTCCCAGCCAGGTTGAAGTTCACGCATTGTTCGGGCATTAGACTTCGAAAATGGCATTTAACAGAGACGACGCGTGTCCGAGCAGCGTAAGTATACCAGGATCAAACCCAACATCAATGGCAGTAAGCAGATCAAACCGTTAACGATAGACATGCCGATTCCTAAGCCAAGCCACGATAACGCCGCCCTGGAAAAAGCCCACACATACACACAACACTTAGCATATATTTGGATGCGTAAAAAAACATCGCAGTGCCATTAGATTATGTCCCCTCAAACGCCCAAAATCAACAAATGGTGAAGAAGAAAGTAGATCGTTTAGCTGTTGTTCGTGCCCTCATGTCAAACATATCGGTCATCATCATATCCGTTGTCTTTCATTTTGTCGCAGGAGACACTGTTTGTCTCCCTATAAAGGATACCCGGCGGAATGTGGCGAGTGGGGCACAGCTCCCAAAGGTCACACTTCTGCAAGCTTCCTGCATGATTGAAGTCGCTTTCACTGTCTAGAATAGGGTTTGTTCATCAATGCGATCTCACGAGCCACGGTAGCCCACTCTAATTCCCGTCTTGCAGGCTTGTTTCGCTTCTGTAATTGTAACTCCTCCCATTTAAGAAGCTCGTAGCTAAATAAGCGTTAGCTAATAAGGTCCACGAAGATGCTTAGCAGGTGTAGAGCTGGAACTTACACAAATCGTAGATGAGGCTGAATGATTACGTTAAGCCTTCGTGCTCGGACAAAACAGCTGGGGCAAAACATTAGCGGAAGTCGCATGCGATATTGATCGATTGGACCTACTATGCTCTGGGGAACGAGAGGCCTAATGACGCCATCACCTCGGCAATACAGATTGTCGCTGAACGTGAGACGCCCACGCGACAATGCACTAAGGTGGCCATCCCGTCGTGCTTTCCTTGTCCTAAACGACCAATCTTGGTAAGCATTCATTGTATGGGTGCCAACAACATATCAACTTACGGATGAAGTCCAGACAGCGATCGAATTCCTTTGTCAACTCATCGATCCCATTGTCCTGAACATCAGTGATGTGTAGGATATTCTTCTCGTCCACCTTAGCAGAAGTGCTGCTCCACGAAACGGTTTCGCCTATGCTGAGGATGCGCTTGATCCCTAATGCGGAAAGCATCTCTGGGTTGTTGGCATGGGACAAGTTACCCAGGTACATGTACGGCAGAATCCGACTTGGAAGAGAACCATCGCAATATCTGAACCAAGCGGGATCAGGAAGGCTTCTGATCTTGTGTGATCGAGTTGCAGGGCTTTCCTGCAATAGCCGTCTTTGTACGCCGCTCATGAAGGTTATATCAGACGGGTAGGCAAAGAAATTCCGCTTCTTCTCACAATGCAGTCTGAGCCAAGCATTCGGAGCCGAAATGCCCTCTGCAAACATTAAGTAAGCAATTGCTAGCAGTGAGCTTTCAGTGTAGCCGTCTGGACAATGGATGAGGATTCTGCGCGCTGTCTTGGTGAGGGGGATCATTGGAATATCGCCGTCTGCATCAGCCTTTTGGTCTGGCTCATCCGGGTTGGCCAAGTAATAGATCCAGCGGACCGTGTTCACCAGATCATCGATCTCTCTGGTTTCACCTGAAGGCAAAAGGATCGAACCGGACGAGGGAAACTCCAGCTTCTGCGGGCCTTCTTCGAGTTGCTTATTGAGATTTGCCAAAAACCGCGGGCCAGGAATGCTTGCGAGCTCGCTAGCCTCGATCAATAGATCGAAGTTCTCGGTAGGTGCAGGCCCGCAAGACCCAGGCCGTAATAGGTAGTCGGGTGTAGGGCCAAGCCAGACATTTGTTGAAATTTCGGAGGCTTTGGACATCTCACACATCTCCAACCGTTCCCACTGGACTAGTGACATGTTAGACTGGAACCAGAGAACATCGGTATATCGCTTACAGAAATCCACGACCTGGCCCGTAAGCTGGCCACTGGAACTGATAGCCACCAGGTGCGACGCTTTCTTCTCAACCTCGGAAAAGGCACCTAGAGATTGATTAGCTCGCGTAACCCGCAATCGGAACCCATGTTACTCACAATCTAGAACAAAGGTATTATAAGCGGGAGAGTTACGGTCCGGATCGTTCTTTATCCTCCAACTATGCTGTGCCGTTGCCATTCGCCTTGCAATATCCAGAATCTGTTGCTGGGTTGCACTGTTCTCACCATAGACGATAATGTCAGATAAGGGTGCCAACTTTGCGGTCTGTATCTGGAAGTTGCGCACTGAGAAGCCTTCCCGAGGGTCAATCGCCAGGAACTCCACTCCCGACGGGGCCAAAACTTCCTCTGGAGATACCGCACCCTTGATCCTGCAGGAGGACAGATCACCACCGACTTTGACAATGGTGATACCCCGCCAACACTTTGGAGTTCGACGGAGAGAACGTTTTCCCTTCGTAAAGAATCCCACTTGCAAGTGATTATCTGGATGAAGACCGTGCAGCCATGGAAATACCAAGTTAGGATGTGGCAGCGGCTGGGCGGCCAAATGCTCCAAAGAAGCGGACAGGGTTCTGAGGTCGATTGTATACACCGTAGGTGAATGAGTCAGTCGACGGGATTTATCGGGTGGATATAAGAGCGACGAGGTCTGATCATTAGAACTGTCTTTAACAGGTGGAGAAGGTGCATGAGCATTGATTGGAGATGGACCCGTGGGGCAAACAGGTATATGCTTGTTGGGGATGGGAGACGAAGTCCTGTTCAGACTCAATGCGGGAGTCAAGCCCGTCGGGGGAGGGGTCGAGTGTCGCAGCGTCTGCTGCTGCACCACAACTGTGGCCATAATTTAAGAAGAATCCTTCTATACTTCGTGTACCCCTGCGATAAATATCACCTGCGATGGACTCTATCCAATATCCTGACAGTGCAAACGAGGCCAATCAACAGCGCATTCCTTAATTTTTGGGAGACCGTGCAGGATGTCACGCGCGTATGCAGTCACCAAGGAGCAACTCGGTTCTGTATTTAGATAAAATTAGCACCTGTATCTCAGACTAGAGGCTCAACAACGCGTATTGTTTTCTGCATAGGAAGGGGGGCGATGGGAGTGGGGTTCCGATGACATACTCCCCACAAACACCTAACTCTAGAGCATCTAAACCAGGCGAAAGTATGTCTGGGAACCAAGAATCATGAAGGAGATGCGATGTGTGAATTCGCAAGTGATGAAGAACAGACAATAGGTGATAGATACACGGCAGCGTAGATCATTAAATGGGGTAGAAGCCAATTAATTGGGAATGGAATGGGGAAGAGAAGGTTACCCACAGCAGATAGCAAGCTAAGATACGCCCAACCCCACAATGATAAAGGGAACCAGAAACACGAGAACCCCAAGGCGATCCAGAAATGAGTTGGATGTGGGGGGAAAGAGTGGGAAGAGTGGAAAGTGTAAATGACGATGAAGTCAGCGAAAGATAAGGGTAGGAGATAAGGTGAAGCTAAGTAATAACCCAACAGAAGTGAATCATGAGGGGGAAGGGAGGAATGAAGGTGATCTTCGGGTGGAGGGGGAAGACGGCTTCTTGAAGGTAGAAGACGTGGAAAGGGAAGACTAGAAATTGAGGAGAAGAAGAGAAGGAGGAGAGGGGAGAAGAGGAGGCCGAGAGGAGGGGAGAGGGAAGGTTGTACTACAATAAGACTACTAAGTACTTAACTAGCCAGGGAGAGGAATCCCAATAATGCAGGTCAAGTCAATCCATCCAGTATGGGGGTGGGGAGGGGGGAAGAAGGAAAGGAAACGCGCGGTGGGCCTCCGTCACTAGTGGCCACTTAGTCCCGCCGTAGCGCCGCTCCTCTTCCATTTCCCTCCAAGAAGGAAATTCAAATCATCATTCCATTTACTGCAGTATCCCGGTGCATCGATCTTCCAATCTATCCCAATTGATTGTGGATGGTCCTTGCTGCCACTTCACTTCTACAGAAATCAGATTTTTGTCTCATCTGCTTCTCATGCAGCCCCTCCCGATCATCTACTGTGTGGTAGATAGCAGGAACCTTGGCCCGACCTTTGTCGTCACCATCCGCCATACCTTGATTTCGGGCAGAAGGTCCCCACATCCGGCCTGTCCAAGATGTGTTAGGATAAGATAGATAATACAGCTTGCCCGTTTGTGGCCAATGATTCCACCCTCCCCTTCTCCTGCTCAACCACCCCCCCGCTCAGGCAAATCTCACTGATTACAGCCCTGAATATGCTGTGCGCTGCTACACAATAGGCTGGGCTGCTTCGATACTCTCGGGTCGTCTCAGGATTAAACCCCCACACCCCCCGGGAGTCTTGACGCCAACACCTCTAGTGTAACGCCCAATAGGGCCTTGAAGCAGTGGCCTTCCGGCTTAGGACCGCAGATACGGCGACACAAGGCAAGGTGCGGTACCGCTGCTCTGCCGAATGAGAGGTCGTTGGTGGACAGCAGTGGCAGGTCCGTCAAACTCAGTCTGGGTGGTCAGGCTTTATGATTGGCATCCACGCACGTCCCGTACCCTTCTCGCCATCGATCTCTTTGACAACGGTCGCTGACAGGGACCCGTGGTTCTTGTCAAGTCATGCGTCTGCCCACCCCCGTCTCCAATTAATCACCCAACCACAGCCGGGGTTGCGGACTCATCTGAACGACATGACATCTACATTACAAACCCATCAATTGCTGTTGCACCTAGTGCAGATGTACCCCTGGGTATATGCGTGACCATCCTGGTATGCATGTCTTTCTTTTGACTTTTCCCCAAAATTTAATGCTGTTTGCCTTTTCTGCCCCTTTGCTGTAGTAGACAGACTTTGTTGCTTCTTTGGACTTCTTTGCGTACTACTGTACTTCCTGTTTGCTCATGTACATGATTCTGTCTCGTGGGGGACCTGCATGTAGTATGCGTTGTAATAATGTAGCGCACTCACCCTGGTTCTACGAAGTGCAGCTCACTGCCATGCAGAGCCATCTACATGCCTGAGATTAGGCACGCGACACTGAGAGAGGGTCTGTGGACAAGCATCGTCCCATAAGCCGTAAAATTAAAGTATCTTGAGGCCGATCCAACGTTGACCGGATACAGTAAGGCTTTCCATGCTATCGCCTGAATCTACTGGGTAGGTAAACAGCAACAATCATCCCTATCACAGTATCACCAGTTTCTTCTGATCTTCCATTGATATGGCTTCTACGGTATTACTTACTGCAGATCGGGCATCGGTCAGCCACAGCTAAGTTCTCCCGACCGTGTTGCGCTGGCTGTAACCAACCCGAACCAAGTGTCAAACCAGTGAGTGCACGGGCGTGTCCATCTCGTCCCCACTTCGGCTTTTCCCTGGAAGCCAAGCTTAAACCGGGTATCTCTCCGCAGAACTCAGCCCCTCCTCCCACCCAAAATCGCTCCTTCTGCCTACTCCACCACCCACCCGTTCACTCGGTGTTACTTGACTCTCCTACCACGTGCCTCTCGCCTTGCTGAAAAGCGGCCCGATCTTTCACACATGCAACCTGCCTGCATCGTGAGGCAGTCAGTTGTTGAGGGGGTCAAACAGAATGTGCAGTTCTGAATACAGGGCCAGGCTCTGAGAGTCAGACAAGTCGTGCCACCTTGCTCTCAAAAAAGATATCGTGGCGAGTTTGATAGACTGCCAACTGGCGATTGATACCAGCCGGCCAACCCAACGTTTTCGGGTCAAGGCTGGACATTCCAATAATCTATGCTTCGGCCTTGTCTCTGAGCTCCTTTGCAAGTCTCAGCAAGTAGAAACGAGCCATGTCAGGTGGGAGGCCATCAAAAGACTTCGCCATCTTCTGAAGATCGATCCTCGCTTTCTCATAGGCTTGCAAATCACGGTTCCCGTAGACATCCCGGCCAGCTGCATATCCTTTCGATAAATTGCGAAAGAAAACATTCACGGCCACACTGACCTGGCCAGTCGGAGATGCAGTGTGTAACCACAACGGGGGAATGAACAGGATGTCGCCACGACGCATAACCGCTTCATGTGGCGTTGTGTACGGCACCGAAGCAATTGAACCGTCTACTGAATTCTGGAATATGTTAAGGGTGGAGCTTGATGCCCCAGCAGGGACCTGAAGGTATTGCACATCACTAGGGGGAAAGAGAATGAGTCTCTTCTCGCCACGGATCTGACACAAAACATTTGCCATGACCTGGAAATAGTCAGTGCCTCACTTCTGCATGTATTTGTTCACATGCACACTCACATCGTAGTGCAGCCACAGGGTGACTGGTCCAGAGATTCTGAGTGGAGAACTGTGTTCGTTCTCGACAACCATAGCAAAAGACTCGGGGAGTCGGAAATCATCCCTGAGATTGGGGAAATCTACGGCTAACTTGGCAGGTTGTTTGGTGGGCTCTTCAGTGGAGATACTTCTAAGATATTGACGGCCACCCGCATGCACCTCGTCCAGGAAGGAGCCGAACTCCTTGGTTGTGTAGGAGAAATTCTTCGCTTGGAAACTCATATGGTCGGACTGAGCGTCATGTACAACAACCTATCGAGAGGCTCTTAGCCAGTTTCTTCACGGCAAGCAGGGTCGGTGGCTTCTACCTTGCGGTCCCTGCCAACAGCATCCGCGAGATACTCCTTTGTCCAATGCTCCGTGCACGGACCAAGGTCGGATCCTTCGATGATTACTGGTTTCCCTTCCACTAGTATCTGTTGGAATTGCGCGGCGGTTTCAACCTTAACACGGGGAATCGGTGTGACGCCCTTGGTGCTCTGTTGGTCGACATTGGATGGCTCGACCGATGGCTCCTCAGCTTTCAACGGTTCCGCAACCTCAGAGACTCGACCCCACTCGTTCTCAAGAGCTGTGTCAGTGTTCTTTAGAAGCCAGGTGCCTTCAGTCCAAAAGGTTCCAAAAGAGAAACAAACTGCACCACCGCCCAGCAGCAGAACCTGGTTCGGATCGATAGCATAAGCAGCATGGCCGACCAGTAAAGGTCTTGGCCCACCAAAGTCCAGACCAAGCCCTACTGCAGACAATATATTACCAGACTGCGACGCACAATCGCTAGTAAGGCACTCGACAAGTGCTTTCGTATTCAGAAGCATGATTTCCTTCTCATAGGGCACGATTTGTCGAGGGATTATACCGCCAATAAGAAGCAACCCCCGAGAGGAGCAGCTGAGAGTGGCGCCGAAGCGGCTGAGATATTCAAAGGTGGGTGAAGCTTTCTGTAGCCTCTCTGTGCCATCGTGCAATTCCAGATAGTACGATCCATTGCTGCGCTGGTGCAACTTCCACGTCCAGAAATCTTCCACGATAGTGCCATCCGCTCCAATTCCTCCGAAAAGGATTCCCGACGTATTGTCTGTGCTTGCCAGGCAGGCCCCGAACCTAGCACTGGGGCTTCCATTGACCGTTTCGACCGTTTGCCACCCGTCTTCTTTGCTCCATAGCAACCAGGTATCCAGGGTCGTGCCATTGCTCGTTTTTCCTCCATAGACCAAGACATAGTCTGAGCTCAAAGTGACTCTGATCACACTATGTCTGAACCGCTCGACTGGGAGGTTATTTGTCGGACGCCACTGGGTTCCCTGTCTTAGCCAGCAATCCTTGAGACCAGCAGCTGGTGAAGCCCGGCCACCGACAAGTAAACAATCGCCCCCAGATAGCTGTGTTACGGTATGACACATCCTAGCTGGGACATCGCGGGAAGGGACAGGCAGGGTAGGACCGGTGACGTCGTTTGTGTTCGCGTACAGATCCGTCGTTGCTAGTCGCGTCTGCCGTCCGAGCCCGGCATGGTAACCGAAAGAGTTTGTGCCATCTGGAATAAGCGCTCCGAACCTGCGTTGGCCACCCCCCGCCGGGTACTTTGCATGAAGCGCATACTGGTTGGACACATCGACTTCCTGTTCGGCCTGCATAGTCTTTGCTGCGCTGCGATCCCAACCCCCTTGTGATGTAGAGGCGACGAGAAGGAAGTAATGGGAAGCAAAAAGTGCGAATTCTTCCCATTCATCGAACGGCTCCACAGCATCCAAGGAGGATCGCAGCGAACTGCTCACAAATTCGTCATCCGACCAGAGATCCCACAAACTTCTGGCGCTTGCCTGCTGCCACCCGGCGTTCCTGAATCGCTGTTCTTGCTCGTTGAGTGAAGGGTATTCATGGATCGAATACAGCGGTGCTCCGAGCTTCTTAAAGTGTTTCATCATGGTCGAGGCGAACGGATGATCGGGCCCGTCGGGGAAGAACTGCTCAAGAATGCAGAACTTGGCCTCTATGAGATTTGACGTTAGTATGCATGCGATCAGCCAGGGAAGCCACATAGTATGGTTACCGTACCATTATTCAACTTTGACGCCCACTCGACAACCGCGTTGGCGGACTTAACATCCATATAGGTCAAGGAAACCTCAGCTAGGAAGAGGACTGAGCACTCCGCAGGCAGAACCTCGGTTCTCAGCACGTCGTCCAGCTTTTTGAGATTTTTGAGATCGCATCCAATGCCTAGGTATTGTGCACTGCGTATTTGCACGGCGCTTTCGTCGGACAAGAACTCTATATCCTTGAGAACCTGTGTGATCTCAGCGGTCCTTTTGATGGCGGTCTTCTTATTGATCATGAGCTTCTCATAATCGATGTCGACGAATTGCGTATCTCTACACAGGGATGGATCTTCACTGAGGAGAATGAACGGTAGGGGATCACTACGACAATCCGTCTTAGCATACGGTCCAGGTACCAATAGTCTCTGCAACCAAACGGTTGCTTCCGGTTTGCTACGACTCACAATCCACACCCCAAGTTGAGGACAAACTTGGGTTTTCCCGTAGGCTCTCTCATAAACTGTCGCACCGACTCTGCCATCGCATGCATACGAAGCCAATATCCGCGGTTGATCAACGGCGACCGCCGCTGGGGCTTTTTGACGAAATACCGAAAGAAATGGGGCTTGGGATAGTAGAGCATTTCGACGCTGCGTTTAGATACGATACTACTATTATTGGTCTAGGATTGTTAGATGTAGCACAGGAAAGTGAAAGAAATGTAGGCGCTGGAGTGGTCTGTGTCTGCGCCAGGCGCATAGTGGGACTCCGCCATAGTAATCGCAACTTACCCCCATAACCAGATCGGCCTCCTTCTCAGCTTTAGTGCTGGTTCCAGCCATGGCCGGCTTTTTCGCCGCTGCCTTGACAGCACCGGCTTCCTTGTTCGCCGTCATGGTGAAATTGGCGTTGTGCGGGGTTAATCGTAGGAAAGGGAAGAAATAAAGTGGAAATTTGCGAAAAGAAAGGCGGAAATGTCGATCAAGATGTGGCCCAAGCGTCAGGTGCTTCGCTTGCCGCGCCTGACGCAGACCGCGGCAAGGAAGAGGAACTGTTGTTCTTCCCCCGGATACCTCCGCTACCAACCAACCAAGTCGGCGTCACCTCGCGGTTGTGGAGGCGCTCGGAGTATATATACGGCGAACCGTTACTCGAGTATCAGTTGCGCAAGCGAGAGATGCAAATCAAGGCCCATCAACAGTGACGAAACCGGCTCTAACCAGGGATCTGTCTAACCCCTCCATACCCGACACTAAAGCGTGTTACTCCTCCAGACGACGTGATATCACCAAAGCTCATCTCGGAACTCTCGGTTTAATCATCACACGGTATACTGTACTGCCATATCGGTTCGATAGGAAAACAGAGTGGAGTGAGGTGTGGTCGATCCCGGTGATCGACAGAGCAACGATGTCGATGAACTTCGTGACGTTTAACCAGGACTATAGCTACCTAGCTGTGGGTAAGGCTCTTCCTGCTCCCGTCTCTTACCTTCTATACTCGTGAAATATGTCTTGACACCTGTCAGCGACTTCCAAGGGGTTTCGCATCTTCACCACGGACCCTTTCGCGAAAAGCTATGAGACGAAGGAAGGGAATATTGCCATCATTGAGATGCTATTCTCGACGTCCCTGGTTGCGCTGATACTATCACCACGTCGCCTTCAAATAACTAATACCAAGGTTCGTAGGATGTCCTTCGCGCATTATGTTAGATTCTACCTTTTCAATAATCGCATAACTTCTCCCCTGTATTCTGTTGCGCGATTCACGAGGCGCAAATGGTTAACGCTTTTTCTCACATCTGCAACATATAGCGCCAATCCACGATATGCGAATTGACTTTTCCCACGACCGTGCTGGCAGTGAAGCTGAACCGGAAACGGCTTGTCATTGTGCTGGAGGACCAGATTTACCTCTATGATATCCAGACAATGAAGCTCCTGTATACCATCGAGACCTCTCCCAATCCCAACGGTAAGGCTGCGACTACATTTGGATGTGGATGTGCTAGATTGTCTAACTGCTGGCAGCACTATGTGCCCTCTCCCCATCCTCCGATAACTGCTATCTGGCATACCCTCTGCCGCAAAAGGCACCGCCCTCTACGTTCCAACCTCCAGCTCACGCTCCTCCGGGGACGACTCATGTTACACCTACAAGTGGCGAGGTCTTGATCTTTGATACTTTAAAGCTGGAAGCGATCAACGTTATTGAAGCGCATCGGTCTCCGCTAGCGTGCATCACGTTGAACAGTGATGGAACCCTTATAGCCACGGCATCGGACAAGGGAACTATCATACGGGTATTCTCTGTCCCCGACGGGCGCAAGCTTTACCAGTTCCGGCGAGGGTCGATACCATCCAGAATCTACAGCATGTCTTTCAACACCACCTCGACTCTCCTTTGTGTATCTTCTTCCACGGAAACGATCCACTTATTCAAATTAAGCCTTCAATCACAGTCACCGGACGCCACACCATCCTCTTCACTTACAGCCGCTGATCGAAGGTCTAGCCAAAGCTCATTGGGGCAATTGTCTGACGCCGATGACAGGGTTGGAGATATGGGCTCCTCCGAGCTTGCGTCGAGGAAACACAATGGAACTCTGATGGGCATGATCCGGCGCACCTCACAAAATGTTGGCAGCACATTTGCTGCCAAGGTTGGAGGCTACCTCCCCAAGGGAGTCAGCGAGATGTGGGAGCCCGCCCGAGACTTCGCTTGGATCAAACTACCAAAATCTAACCCAGGGCCCGGAGCAAATGGGAACAACGGCCCGTTGCGCAGTGTGGTCGCTATGAGCGCCAACACTCCCCAGGTTATGGTGGTGACTAGCGACGGCAACTTTTATGTGTTCAACATCGATCTCTCCAAGGGTGGTGAGGGGACGTTGACTAAACAATACTCGTGAGCCTGCTTTTCCTATCAGTATAAAAGGACTGGTATTGACTGATAAATAGTGTGCTCGATACAAATGACCGCCTGGGTTACTCCGTGATGGACTATTAATTTCGCCATGATACCACTCGTTTACGTCTACTACTCCTACATGTCGATCGTTACAGCGCCCGTTGCATTTTATTTTGATTTGAAGCGTCTATAGTATACTTCTAATGAGGCCATTGTACGCCTTCCTATTCGCCCTTACTTTATCGTTCAAGCCCTTCTTGGGGCATTACTGCTACCAGTTCCTCAGTGTCAATTTTCTGAGCCCTCTACATTGCATGAGCATGACTTTCTGTCCGTCTCAATGCTCTTGCCATGTAACCCAAAATGTTTTGGGATCCAGGGTAACTTTGTGACGGAGGTCGGTTCCGCATTAACTGTCACGCAGTTTCTGATTTCCGAGCGCTGTACTATGTGGTTGTACTTTATGCATACGAACTTAGTCTGACACCCACACTACTCCTCCCCCTTACCTAAAATTCTAAAGCCTGTAACGCAATCGTATTGCACCAGACTAATATCTAAATTTTATATATCAGATATTTGTATCACCAATAGGCCGTATGAGTGGGCTGGCTTTCATTGCCTGTCATACTCGATAGCAACTCATGTAGCCCATCTCCCTCTTCCATTCCATGCACTTCATCCCCCCAGGTAGCTAACTAGCAAGCGCCTTTTCCATCCAACTCACCCGTTAACACGAATCCTCTTCATTTTACGGGAAATAATGACACCCGTCCCGTCCATAAGGTCTGCCGCCACGGGCAATCTATTCTTGTAATTCTGTCATATTTCAGAGAGATCTTCTATATGGATGGGGAACAACCAGTTCAACAATGCAGGTTAAATGTTATCTCATTTCCCAACGCCGGATGCAACATTCATCATGAGATTGAACTGTCAGCGCATGACCACGCACAGAGCTCTGTAGTTGCTTTGCGAGACAATAATATTGACGATATATCCGTGAGTTCCGCCAATCATTATAGAGTCCCAACGAGGCCACTAGAATGCTCCAAGAGATCCAATCAACTCCTACAAGTGAAGTATTTGCCGGATAGATATGTAGTAGTGTAAGTAAGTCTGTTCAATTCCGTTATTCCGTACTACGTCCTGGGCTAGTAAGAACGATCATTTCCGCGGGCTCCACCTTCCACGTTATGTGGGTATCAGTGCTTTAGTGCTTACTGTTCCTGCCTCGCCGTTTCCCCGATTTGGAAAGAAACAGGGGTGGGACAGAGCAGAGAGAGGCACTGTGCGAGGAGAAAGACAAAGAGACGCGAGAGGGGAGAGAGAGAAGTGGATCAAGCAATGCACGTTTGGGCACACCTTCCCCGCTCATCAGAGACCGTGAGCAGGACTAAGAGCCGGGGGTGACAGGTGTCTCTTTCATTTAAAGCGTCCCAGACACCTCCAGCACCTTTCAATATCAGCCAGTAACAACAATCCAATTCCCCCTCCTCACCTCCAGACAAGTCAATCATGGCGGCCGCTGCCTTGGACCAGCTGAGATCTATCTTTCCCGATGATAGTACCGATAAAGTGGTGATCAATGAGTCCGCTGACAAGTACCAAGCTGCCGTGACCTGCCCTTGGTCACAGACTTGCTGGACTCCTGCGGCCGCATATGTCTACCTCAGTACTGTTCAGGAGCTAACCAAAGCCCTGGCTATTGTACAAGAGACTGGTACCAAGTTCGCTGTCCGCACGACCGGCCATAACCCGAATGCAGGATTCAGTAGTGCCGGTGAAGCAGCAGTGGTGTTAGATATCAGGCAGCTTAGGTCCAAAGAACTACTCTCTGATCAAGGGACTGCACGCTTTGGGTCGGGAAATACCTGGGGTGAGGTATATGCTTGGTTGGAGGAGCGAGGACTATCGGCCATTGGGGGGAGGGATTCCCAAGTAGGACTAGGAGGCTTTCTCTTAGGGGGTATGTGTGCTTGCTTGCTTTCTTGCCTCTCTCTCTCTCTCTCTTTCTCTCCTCTTGAAACAATTTACTGACTATTACTCATTAGGAGGTATGGGGGCTTTGCCTAATCTTTATGGACTCGGCGCTGATGGTGTGAAGAACTTTGAAGTAAGTTCAAGATGATCGTTGGCTTCTCCCTTTCTACTTCGGCAGGGAATTGTGTATGGGGTAGGACAGGATCAGGATTCATAGTTAACATGTTCTCCAGATCTTACTAGCAGATGGCCGCCTCGTCAATGCTAATAGAAATGAGAACTCCGATCTCTACCGTGCCCTGAAGGGTGGTGGCTCTAATTTTGGTATGTCTAGTGGCAAAGTTATCTTCGGAAAATAGTACGACTAATTTCACTATCACAACAGGTATTGTGACACGGTTTGATCTTGAAACTCACCCTTTGATAAAGGTTCAATATACCATCAACCTCTATAATCCTGAGGATTATGTGGCAATCAACCAGGCTACTTTCGAAGTTCAACAAACTATGGAGGAAGATCCTAGGATTGGGCTGTTCACCAATTTCAATAACGGCTTTGTTGCAGTAGGCCTACTCTATGGAGACCATCCAGCTGAGTCTGAGGCCCGAGAAACTTTTAAGCCGTTTCACAACCTCAAAAGCCTGATGACAACAGTCCTACCCTCTACGAATGGCACCCTTTTATCTCTAGCTCAAGCTATGGGCCATGCCCAGACATCCCTCAAGTAAGTACTAGTTTAAATTGGAACCTACTCGTATAGTTACTAACATATATACAGACGGGCTATTTGTACAGTTACCACCCGAAACTCAACTGCGCTTTACGACGAAGTGTATAAAGCCTGGGTAGAGGTCCGTAAGACCCTTCCAGCTGATACTGTCCTACATTATACCATTCAGCCCTTTGGTAAAGCTGCTGTTCAAGCTGGTAAAGAACGTGGTGAGAATATCATGGGCCACGAGAGTGTTCCACAATGCTGTATGATTTGTTCCCCTTTCTCTGTATGTTGGTTATTGAGGCTAACGAAATTCACCTAATTCTAATAGGGTGGGTTTTCACCTGTGAATGGCCTAAAGATGGCGATGATGCTGCTGCACAAAGTGCCGTGGATATCATGTCTGAAAAAGTACAGTACCTGGCCAAGGACAAAGGCCTCCTTCTGGATTTCAAGTGTATGAGCTTTGCTACCGCTTCGCAGAGGGTTCTGGGCAGCTACGGGGTCGATAATATTAAGCGGATGCAGGAGGTAGCGGCCAAGTATGACCCTGAAGGTGTTTTCCAGAAGCTGCAGAATGGTGGCTTTCTTCTACGCGACAATGTCTAGGTATGCACAGGGGGGGTACTCTGACACAGTCCAATAGCAATGCGAGGCCTTCTCTGTTCTCGAGCGTGCCAATTCCGCAAAATGTACATGTAGAGCGGCACCAGCCGATATGATTCTTTAGGTCTTTATGAGATATATTGTAGAAAAAAGAATATAGAGAAAAGAAATCATGCAAACAAAGGTCTATATATGAAGAAGAAACTATTCAAAAATCAGAATATAGTAGATTTTGTTACGAGATTGTCCATGACGCATTTAAAAAGGATTGACTATGAGTATTATAATTAGTTAATAGAGATTGGAGATACTTTTATTCCGAAGTACATGATTACGAGAATGACATCCATGAGAATAACCAACTTCAGATTGTAACCCAGGAAAATTGCCACCTGCTATTTTTTGGGTTGTGCTGTGACTTTCTGTTATTCCTATCTTTGCACTCTATAGTACCAACCTTACTAGACTGTCTACAAAGTACGTCCGAACCGCAATACCGACCCCACTCCCCGCAGATCATGTAATTTTCATCATCGCCCGTCAGATCATTACATTATCAGTAACCACCAAGGTACAATATCTTCTGCATCTACATCTACAGCTTCCACACGCTTCAACCAGCCATTGGCACCCACCTGCATACCTCGCTCGCCATGCTCCCACCCCCCGATGACCCCGACTCTACCACCGACACAACAATCACGTCCACCAGATCACCCCTCCCCCTCACCACCGACAATGCCACCACCACCACGAAGAACCAGAACAACCACCACCACCCCCGCAAACCAAAACCCACGCTCCTCAACCCCCTTCAAAAAGGTATCACAACCTACCTAACCCACCACCACACCGATGCGACCCTCCCCCCCTCCTCCCTTCCCAAACGCTTCACCATCTACGCCCCCCTCCTCCTCCTTCCCGTCAACGCCCTCACGACCCCACCCGCCTGGCACACCCTCTATGCCTCCCTAACCGCATCTCAAAGGACCACTCTCTACGAATGCATTCTCTCCGCCTTCTCGCGCTACAACCTCACCCACATCGCCATCAACGCCCCCATCGCATTAACCGACGCGCAAGGCACCGAGAACCGCATGCGCAGTCCCGGCGGCTTACACCCACTACACGGGGATTTTGGGCCCTCGCCCAGCACAATCGTGAATCTGGATGCGCCAACAGCGGAGGACCTGGGGCGTGCGTTGTGGGTGAGTACGGTGCAGAACCATGGCATTGAGCAGTTTTGGGCACCTATGTATACGATGTTCTCGAGGGGGAATGTTACGGAGAAGGCAAGGATATTGGATGGCATGGAGGGGTTGCGGAGGGAGGATATGGAGGGGGCAGGGATGAGTGTGGTGGATATGTATGCGGGGATTGGGTATTTTGTGTTTTCGTACCTGAGGCGGGGGGTGCAAAGGGTTTGGGGGTGGGAGATTAATGGCTGGTCCGTGGAGGGGTTGCGGAGGGGGTGTATGGCTAATGGGTGGGGGTGTAGGGTTGTTAAGATTGATGGTGATGGGGTGTTAGAGGGTGGTATGGGGGTGAAGGAGTTGGTGGATGGGTTGAGGGATGAGGATAGGGTGGTGGTGTTTCATGGGGATAATCGGTTTGCGGCGCGTGTTTTGGCACAGATCAGGCATGTGATGGAGGCGCGCGGGCGGTGGGCGCCTGTCAGGCATGTTAATTTGGGCTTGTTGCCCTCGTCGGCGGCTGCTTGGGGGGCTGCGTGTCGGATGGTGGATGGACGGTTGGGGGGTTGGCTGCATGTGCATGAGAATGTGGATGTGCGGCGCATTGAGGAGATGGGGGATCATATCACGAAGGAGATTGGGAGGTTAAGGGCCACGGCTTTGGAGGTTGAAGATGTGGTGGCGGAGTGTCGGCATGTTGAACAGGTCAAGACTTACGCTCCGGGGGTGATGCATTGCGTGTTTGATGTCAAGATGCCGGCACTGGAGCTATAACGCTCATTGACGCTTCGTATGGATTGGGTTGGATTTCCAAGGGGTATGTATAATCACCCGCCAGGATGCTCGTCTCATCACACATTTATTATGTACAATATCATCATCAACTATAACAACAACAAAGGAATCTAATGTACACTCATCTAAGCTTGCTTGAGGAACTTCTGCGGTATGTTGGCCTCGACGATCTGCATGCTCTCGAGCTGCTCGAGGCGCTCCATCGCAAGATCTTCCTCGTCGTGCCGCCGGAAGTGCTCGATATCTTCGGGATGGTTGAGCTCCTCCTCTGTCGCATCTTCGCCATGGTATTTCTCGAAGTGGTGGATCTCGTACTCATACTCAATGTCGCCGTGGTGGCCTGGACCGAACCCCAGATCGGGTAGCCGAGTGCCCTCGGCGATGATGCGCATCCAGTTGTCACGGGTGATGAAGCCAGTATTGGTGGGGTCGAAGAGAGTGAACACTTCTCTTAAGGCCTGACTCTTGCGATCCTCCGTGGCTCCTGCATTCGTCTCATCGTCCATGCCATATGTCTTGCGCACTTCCTCGGGAGTCCATGCCCCAGATTCATCATAGTCGTGAAGGGAGAAGAAGGAAGCAGCGTCGAAGGCATCAATGTGATGCTCCTCTGTTTAATTGGGGCCAGAGAAGTCAGTCACACAATTGCCCACTTTGGCGGAACGGATATCAACATGATCGATAGTGGTAATTACCTTGCATATGCCGGGTGGCCCAATCCGACGAGGGCGGCTGGTCGGGGTGAGAACCGTGGGCACTCACGAAGCTGCCGCTCAGGGCCAATAGAGCAGTAGCGAGGACGACGAGCATTGTCGGGGGCGATTGAAGCACAAACGGGTGGGGATATTTATAGAGCCACGAGCGCCAGGCGAAGATCCGACGAGTCGTAAAAATTGCAGAATGAGATCTCGCGAATGTGACAGATCGCCGGGACAAAGAAAGGGATGGCTGAATTCTGGCTTACCTTCACTGGCTCCATTCCAACCCAGTAGTCCAAAGTCTTGGTTCAACAGCTGGGGTTCCGGTTTGCTTGGTTTGCACTGCCGGTGGTCCGACTTTCGTTTAGCCGGTTTTGGATCATCATCAAAAGATTCTCGACCTCCCGCCGATATTTCCTCCCCCTCCGCCCCCTTCATCTTCCCCCCGACGTCGATTTGTCCGCCATTGGTTGTCGGGTCCTTGTGATCAATCAATTGGTCACCTTCTCATCCTCTGATCCTCGTCATTGGAGTCGGTTCACGGCAGAAATGACTTGAGAATGCAAGGTCTTTGGTCCCGCGCCGCTCCGGCGCAATCCACCTGCCGCTGCGTCTCTTGCTTAAGTACCGTCTCCAATGGGGTGGCCTCGAGAGGTACTTCGGCAGCCAGCAAGAAACGCCTCCGGCTCGGAAACTCAGTAACAGCACTATACACCAGCATCTTCGCCGCCGCCGCTTTGGCAGACGCCCAGGCCAAGGGCCAACGCCGTCACGAATGGGAGGAAAAGATCGCCGCAGTCAAGGAAGAGGTCATTGAGCTGGTGGATGAGGAACAGCGTCTGGTGGAGGCTCTTATGTCGCGTCGGAAGCAGGGATTTCTCAATGGATCGTTACAGACCAGACAGTTCGGCACAGCGACTCGGCCGGCACCTATGAGATACCAATGGCCCAGGAGGAACGCACCGTTCGCGTCTTTCCACTCAACGACTGCCTTTGCGAATGAGAGAGATAATCAGATTATCCGTGATCTGGTCGCGGAAAGCGAGGATCCGCTGGCGGAGGATGCAAATGAGGACTATGGCCTATCGCTGGAGGATGACGATACACCCACATGGCTCACTGGTGATGTGGTCCGTCAGAAGGTCATCCGGAAGCTTGCGCTTAAACAACTTGCCATTAGGCTTCTGTTGCGGCCGGCGATCGCCCACAGCTATCAGGGTGTCCAGATGAACTACAGTGCCGACTTCTCAATACCCCAGTTGAGAGTGCCGCAGTTGCTAGCGGAACTTAACAGCCTTCGGCGCAGGATGCGTCAAGTGAAGGGCTCGGAGAAGGCTAATATTGATGACTTGGCCAAGGACCTCCGCGTGCACTCGATACGACACATGACGGAAGAGCGCAATCGGCTCGATAGGGACGTTCAACGTGACACCGAAATCTATATGCGGAATGAGATGCCCTTGCAGGAACTACTCCTCCGGCTAGCCAACAACCTGATGCAATGTACGGACCCGGACCGGCCAGAAGTCATAAAGAAGATGATTCTTGCGTTCACCAAGACTCGTCAAAACGATCTGTGTGATCTGATCTTGAAGACTATCCTTCCACACAAATTCCCGCTCAGCGCCTCTCTCATCCTCACGATCCTGACCTTCTTCCGTAAATCTAAGAACCTTATGGGATTCGACATATTCCTGGAGATGTTGAACGGTCACGGCTACCCAGTCGATATGAATGGCTTGGGTCTGTACCAGCGCCAAGTGGTCAATGGAGTTGAGATTATCGTCCCACCGGTGGATTCAGCGAACCCTGTCATCTACGCCACTCTTATTGTATCTTGTCTACGCTTCGATCAACCGGATCGTGCCGATGCATACCTCCTAGCTGCGAGATCGGCAGGGCATATGGACGACTTTGCTATCCTCAACTCCTACCTGCGGTTCTGTGCTATCCGTAGCGACTGGGAAAAGGGAGTCCAGACCCTCAAGAGAACACTGGCGTTCATGGTTTCGTCAACAGAGCACCAGCTATTCCGCCTTGAGCGACTCATCGTCTTAATGGTACACATGTGTGATGCCTGCGAACAATATGACATGTCCGAGGCCATCATCACATCGGCCATGAACAGCGGTTTCAACTGGGAAGCAGCCAGCAAGCAACTGGACATCAAGCCCCCCCACGACCCTCACCACAAGAGATGGTCATCGGCAGCGGAGGCCGCACCAAAGGATATGCAAGAGAAGCCCGCATGGGAGAAATCCTACGCCTTTGTGAACGTCATGAACGAGTGGCTGAGCGCCTACGAGGGCAAATCGCCCTCCAAGAAGTGGCAAGACATGATAGAACTCTACTCCCAGCAGGTCCTGACCGCCATGCTCGCCGGATCCCCAGCGTCAGCCAACGCCCCTAAAGCGCCCGAGGTAGTCTTCGAAGACAAGGACCGCCAGAGCCTGCTCCAAGAAATCAGCAAGCAGGTCGAAAAAGCCAAAAAGGAGAACGAGTCCACAGCTGCAGCCCAGGAACAAGAAATCTCCTCCCTGAAGGCCGAAATATCACAACTCAAACAAATGGTCTTCGACCTCCACCAGACCCGCAAGCAGGAGTCTACGATACCGTCACCCCCTCCCTCTCCCACTCGCTCTAGCCACCACCACCAAGACCACCTCCTCCGTCGAAAACACGAACACATGGCTCCTACTCCGGACCTCGAACCTCCTTTCAACAAAGTCAGTATTCGTTACATGAAGTCGTAGGCTCAGTCCCCTTGGCCTTGAAGGCACTCTCCTTCAGTCTCTGGGCAACGAGACTGCATTCCTCGGAGCATCCTCTTATTATTACCCTTTCCCATCTCTCCCTCCCGCTCAAATCCAGACGGAACATACTCCCTCCGTATACCCATCCCATCATATACCTATATTATACCACTCGTGTACGGTGATAAGTATCGATGATAAGCTCGCCAACTTCTGGCCCGCATTGGGATTGCTTTGATGTTTTTATATCTCTAGGTGGTCGATTCAGCCTACCTGGAACATTTTGTACAGTATCTACACTATAGCTTGTACTTTTTTTTATCTTTCAATTTTTCTTGTGATGATAAATAGGGGTTAGAATTGAGCGTTGGAATCCTACTATTCCGTTTGGATATTTGCTCGTCTAGACTCTTGAATAGCGTGACATAAGTTGTCGGTACTATCGTAGACCTGAGGAGATCTGGGCTTTTTGTTCTCTATTACGTATAGTGGCAGTAGGATTATGCGCACGTTAGTAGCGGTTTTTGTTTGCTACTATTTCGTATCATGTTGTGGCGGACGGGGGGTGGTTGTATGATAGTGTTTAAAGGTTTATTGACTACAATGTGCACTGGGACGATCGAATTATGGTCACATATGTCACAGGGCAAACTTGCTTTCTAGTCCGTACCTGTATCTAAGTACGGAGATAGATTTGATGAGATGAAGGTGCAATACATACTGTGAAGTCCCCGGGAGGGCCAAAGCCCATAAAAGAAAGGAAAAAAGCCCGGAGTCGTGAAGACAATAAGTAACAGATGAAAGTAGGCAATACTGAAAGCAGGTAGGAAATGCAATGAACCGGATACACCCTTTTAATTGAGCTGCATGATTATCATGGGCATGAAATAAAGAAAACATGATCTATAGATATCGTGACAACAAAGAATTAAACCTAGTCTATCGTCTTCTGCTGGAATCAGAGCGCATCTTCTCCTTGCGGGAAAGTCTCTCAGCAGCGCGAAGGAGGGAGGAGCGGATCTCGCCCTTGGGGAAGCCGGAGATGTCGTAGTAAGTGGGTGCAATGTCCTGGGAGACGCTTTGTTAGTACTGGTCTGGGTGTTTGATTGAGGGTCAAGGTAAGACTTACAATGAGCCATTCGGGCTTGACAGCCGTGACAGTCCGAATGTAGTTCTTGGTGGTGAGGACGAATTCGTTGTAGAGAACCCATTCCGCTTCGTGGCCCAAGACGGTCGAGGGGTGCAAAAGAACGTTCTGGTTGTCCTTGATCGTGACATACATGTTCTTGCCCTGAGTCTCCTTCTTGGCGACCTGCATGAAGAAGCCTGCGCACAGCGCACGGCGGATGTTTTCGTAATATTTCTTGTCCTCGAAGGGGGTGGACACCATCTCGAGTTCCTCACGCTCCATGATGCGCAGAAGCTGCATGCGCACGTTGTCTGCCGATTGCAGCGATCTAAGAGAGAGGAAGTGGTCGTGGCACCATTGCTTCAAGTTCTCCTGCGCTTCAGGGCTCTTAAAAGCATGATAGACATTAAGAAGGGTAAGGTGGTCACCGTCAGGGTGGGCAAAAAGATCCTTCATCTCATCAGCACGCTTCCGCTGAGAAGCAGGTCTGACGAAGACTTGCGGGACGGAAAGCAGGGCTGTGATAGAAAGGATTTCGTTGGAGCAGTAGAATTCGGGGGAGCTGATCAGCATCACAGCAAGTGCGGGATCAAGGGGGAACTCGGAGGCCAGGCGACCCAGCTGAGTGAGGTTTCCATCATCGTCCAAGCAAGCCAGATAGTTGAGCTCTTCCAAAGCTCTCATCAGAGTCTCCGGAGCAGGAGGATCCATCAGATCGAAGTGAACAAGATCATCAATGCCTAGCTTCTTCAATTCCAGCACGGTAGAAGAAAGGTTCGAGCGCAGAATCTCGGGGTATGTCTGGTCGATGAGTTCCTTCTTGAAAGCTCCCTCAGTGTACAAACGGAAGCACTTTCCGGGGCGCGTACGACCAGCACGACCAGCTCTCTGTTGCGCGGAAGCCTTCGAGATGGGAGATACCAGAAGAGACTCGACACGGATACGGGGGTTGTAGATCTTCTGCTTCGAGAAGCCAGGATCGACGACGTAGACGATACCGTCGATGGTAAGCGAAGTTTCAGCGATGTTGGTGGATACAATGACCTTCCGGCCAGGACGGCCTCCCGGACGGCGAGGAGGGGGTGCCGGTTCGAAAATGCGCTGCTGCATATGCGGGGGCAGACTACCGTAGAGAGGGTAGACCTTGATGGGACCAGCATCGGCCTCTCTTACCATCTCATCGGCTTCTAACGAGATCTTCCGTGAGGCGTCTTCGATTTCTTCTTCACCAGTCAAGAAGAGAAGGATATCACCTTCGTCTTCTGTCGCGTGGATCTGCAGGACGGTGCGAATGGCAGCTTCCACATAGTCCTGCTCAGGCTCAGGGGTATAGAAGATCTCGACAGGGTGAGTACGACCGGGAACCGCAAGGAGAGGGGCATCGTTGAAGTAACGCTGGAACTTCTGAGCATCCAGAGTAGCAGACATGATAATGATCTTCAGGTCAGGTCGGCGCACAACAACTTCCTTGAGAAGACCCATGAGAACATCAGTGGCCATTGTTCTCTCGTGGGCCTCGTCCAGAATGATGGTACTGTAGCGGTTCAGGTTGTGGTCGTTCATGGCTTCTCTCAGAAGCATACCGTCCGTCATGTACTTGAGCACAGTCTTGGAACTGGTCATATCTTCGAAACGGATGCTGTAACCAACTTCCTCTCCAAGCTTGACATCCAGCTCGGCGGCGACACGTTGAGCGACGGACATGGCGGCGACACGACGAGGCTGGGTACAAGCGACCATCTTGCGCTGAGTTTGCGGCATGTCATCGAACAGGACAAACTGGGGAATCTGCGTGGTCTTTCCGGAACCAGTTTCACCGACGAAAACTAGAATCTGCGACTTTTGATAGAGCTCCAGGAATTCATCTCTGTAGAAACATATAGTTAGAACCCATTTGCGATGTGGCAAACCATCTACACGGGTAAGGGAAACTCACCTCTGAGCATGCACGGGCAGATCGCGACGAGTCTGCAAGATGGAAACATATTTGCTGGAGAAAGGTTGGCCGTTGAACGGGTTGATATCACCATCTTCCACCTTCTTAGCCAGCGCAGCGGTAGTCTGGTGCCTCTTCATCTTCCCAAAGGCGGGGTGAAGATCTGTGGTGCCATCGGTCCCTGTGTTGGAGTTGCCGTCCGCATACATATGAGCCAGGTACGGGTTGTCCTTGGGATCGGTTTCAGACTTGTCCATCTTCTGACGTTTAGCACGCGAACCGTTTTCAGAATCCGAGCGTCGATCAACCATGACGGCTAGCAGAGAGCGAAGCCAGGAAAATAGAAATTGGGGGGGAAGAGAAGAAAGTAGTTGGCTGCGGAGCGACAAACGAGAGATGGGATTGTCGCCGAACGGCTTCAGAAAAAAAAGGCGGCCCGAACAGGCAGGTTGGCCGCCCTTCGCCACAGCTGCAGTTTCCGCGCTTCACCGCCCTTCTTTCTGCCGTCGGAAACCCCACAGAAATCGCTTACCGCCGGCAAGGGGCATCCAGGCATCCAGGCATGAAAGAAAGTCCGTCGCGATGCACGTTTACTCAGGTACGCGGGGCTATCCAGGAGCCCATTGTCGCGCGACGTTCCACTGAAGGGGCGTTCAATTCTTCGGTTAGCATCCCTGCGCGACTAGACCTCCTCCTTTGTTCTCCCATGCTTGTTGCCGTTCTTAAATGATATCTTGTCTGGCCTCGAGATGAAAACTGCTGGGAAACTCAATTGATCTGCGATGCGGGACTAACCAGCTACCACCTAGATAGAGACCGTTGTCAATATTCATCGCCTTTCTTTCCCTATATACAGCCAGATTTACGATCTTCTTCCTCATAACCTCAGTTTATGTGTCTGCCATTTAGTTGCATCTAACTTTGTCATATCGCCCCGTCACCAGGTCCCGGTGACCTTTTCTCGTCTGAGAATATCCGCCGTTGTTGACCATGGACTCGTTCAATCCAGAAGACATGGCTCCTAGTTTCTGCATCGGACAGCATGAAAGCAACCGCAAGAACCCAATTACGGCTGCAATTGTACAGGCAGCCCACGAAAGCAATGTGCGCATATTCTCGTGCTGAATTGCCGGCTCATATGCTAACTTGGATCACTCAGTATGACATGCTCACGGCACCAATTACCACGGAGGCGTTCCATTCTCGTATCCTCACCCTGTTGGGTTCCAACCCGAATGCTCCTCTCTCTCCGGCTGCAAATGGGACTTTGATGACGACCGATAATATACGCCCCCTCTTTATCCCTCCCTTAACTCCCGCGGATAGCCACTTGACACCGGATGAGACGATGTCGCAGATAGTTGGAGTCACCAGCAGTTGGATCGATCTATGCTCCCCAGATCCCCTTATTGCGGACATCTCGCGTCAAGTTTTCATGCGGGAGGTCGCTTATGCAGCATTTTGTGGCCTTGGGTACCTCTTGATTCCTGGCCCGAAACTGCACCACGGAGATATCCATGCAGAAGGCGTGACTTACTATGCGAGAGCGATACAGGATGCTATCAACCTCGCTCCGTACATACAGTTTCACATTTGGATGCCTATGGTCGATAATCCCGATTTGGAAGTAGATGGAATAGCCGATTTGTCTCGCCTTGCTCGTCAGGAGTTTCTTGGAGAGCCGCTCACAGGGCAGCCATCGCGAGTGGACCCTTTTGGCACTTGGGATGCTTGGGACATCATACGAAGAACTTGTAAATACCACTCAAGGCTTGTCGTAGGTAAGATAATATCCCACGGTCTTGACATTTTGCGTCTCCTCCCTGCGGCTAAGACAATGTTGTTAGCACTTTCAATGCCTAAACACCTCCCTCCCATGTCTGTGCAGTCTCGCTGGTACTCTGAGCCTGTTCATCTGCTCAGCTTTGATGCCAATACCTTCATCAAGAACCAGAAAGGCTATCCCGTACTGTCGAAGACACACCAGGCGCTCATCGGTCGGTTTATGCGCCTGCGGACATCCCCATGGATCCTTCTCTGCGACGTTGGCCCAATTCCGGGCGTAGATGAGCAAGAAACTTCAGGAACAAAACTACCCGCTCTGTCCGGCTCTGATTATCCTAGCCTCACCCAGGCCGCGGTATCTAATAAGAAGCATTATGACCCGACCCCTCATCTTTCCTACCTCAGAAATCTACAGCAACGCCAGCCTTCTAGGAGCGCCATGGAGAGGTTCGGAGTTGGATACCAAGACTATCTCCAGGCGCCCTTGCAGCCGTTGACGGTCAACCTGGAAAGCATTACCTACGAAGTATTCGAGAAAGATCCTATCAAATACAAATGGTATGAGCGCGCGGTCGCCAAGGCCCTTAGCGACTGGGCCAGTGAAGGAAAGCCAACTTCAAACCCCGACGGCCGGGTGGTTGTAGCTGTTGTTGGTGCGGGTCGAGGACCGCTCGTGTCACGGGCGCTTCAAGCCAGTGTAGAGACTGGGGTCAAGATTGACCTCTGGGCAGTTGAGAAGAACACCAATGCTTTCGTCCTTCTCCAGCGCCACAATGAGCAGAAATGGGGTGGACAAGTCAAGCTTGTTCAGTCGGACATGCGAAGCTGGAAAGGCCCGCAGGTTGAGAAGAAGGATGACTTGGGAGCACAAACAGGACCGGTAGGGCAATCCCTTGGAATCGAGAATTCCTTACTTTACAATGCCAACGAGGAGCAGGAAACGGCACAGACGTCCGAATCGGCAGCCGCGCCCCCCGTCACGGAGCTCGTTCCCACCACCATTGACATTCTGATCTCAGAGCTGCTGGGCTCGTTCGGCGACAACGAGCTTTCGCCAGAATGCCTTGACGGCGTCACGCACTTACTCAATCCGGTTCACGGTATCTCCATTCCGGCTTCCTATACGGCTCACCTCACGCCCATCGCGGCGCCGAAGCTCCATGCCGATGTCATGAATCAATCCATCTCTAACCCAGCAGCGCCGGAGACGCCGTATGTGGTCATGTTACACGCGATCGACTTCCTCTCCACGAATCAGCCCTCCGCAGCTGCACTGATGAACTCCAGTCATGGAGGCGCTAAATATAGTGCCCGAGACTCAATCTCCACGCTGCCGGGTTCTGGAGAGGCGCCCATCCCATTCGTGCAGACGACCTGGTCTTTTGAGCATCCTAACCAGCATATACCCCCTCAGTTGCCGACCACGTCGACGATCTCCAACTCGCATAACGTGCGCCGGACCCGCCTGTCATTCCCAGTCTACAACCGAGGAGTGTGCCATGGTTTGGCAGGGTACTTTGAGACGGTGTTATACCGCGACATTGAGCTGTCCACCAATCCTGTCACGATGGATACCAAGAGTGCCGACATGATCAGTTGGTTCCCGATCTACTTCCCATTGAAGGTCTGCATTCCTACATACGTATAAGATCTACAACGCCGGATGCTAACAGTATGCTATCCACAGACTCCTCTAAATGTCCCCGACAATGGCGAGGTGGTGGTGACCATGTACCGGCAAACCGACGACCGCAAGGTATGGTATGAGTGGATGGTGGAAGTATTTGCAGTAGAAGGCAACGAAGAAGAAGTGGTGATGAGTGGGGGTAAAGGCACGTCTCCAGCGGCTGGCAATCTGCAGCGACAGCCCCAGCGATCACGTGGCGGGCGACGTGTCCGGGTTGGGACGAGCGAGCTGCACTCCAGCATCAAGGAGGGCTGCCTCATGTGATGCGGTGAACTGTAGAAGGGAAAATAGAAAAGGAAGGCTGCAGAAGCAGGCGACGCTGACTAAGATGTGATGATGGACATTTTTTTATTACATCTGATGAAGAGAAGTTAAAGCATACCGAGTACCCTAAATATGGTTTCTTCCGATCGAGAAGGGTTGATGATCGCCGAAGAAGGCCTTGTAAGAAGTCAGCTCAGCTGCATAGGATCTTCAGCCGTCAGCTTCGGTCAATACAAGGTAGAGTTGCATGGCGGGGGGCAACCTGGCTGGCTGGCTGGCTGGACTTCCACGGGTTCTAAGCAAAATCCTCTCTGACGTGATAGTACTTTGTAGTGGTCATACCAGAGAGGGAACCTAACAAGAAGAAAGAAAGAAGCCCAAACCCAAACTACTATCTTGTGTTGTCTTGTCCTCCCCAACAATCCTGTTTGTTTGTTCGTGTTTGTTTGGAAAAATCACCCATTGATTGATTTACATGGGATCGAACCCTCCGTCTGCCTCACTGCAGAGAAAGGGCTAACCATTGGTCCCCGACCGAGTAGATGGGAGAGGGAGGAGCACTAAAGTATCAGTGCGTTTTCCCCCGGAGTGGTAGATAGGACGTGGCTTCGTCCCATTTGGAAAATGTTGAGAAGAATGATGGAACCGATCTTTTTCCCATTCCTGCATAAGTAGTTACTTGGCTGGTTACGCTTGTGCATAAGTATGCGTAAGTATACTGCTGTAGTACGCAGTACGACGGAGTAGTAGATCCCGTATCTATCTAGTAGTTTACTTTTACTTATTTCACCCATTGCCTGCCTGCGGACTCAGAAGGGGGTGATAGGATGGGTGTACAGTAGATAAGGCACTATCTTCTATCCCCAGCAGAAAAGTTGGCTGTGCATTCTTCTTCTTCTTCTTTCTTCATATCCACATAGTTGGCTGTAGGTATCCATGTAGTGACTTATGTAGCTACCGTTAGTAGTTATTGTGTAGGCTGGCTGGCTGGCTGGACCATACATACGTATACATACAGTTACACCAACTAGTACCTCGCAGTAGACAGATTCTACCTACCTATCTAACTATCTAATCATCTATCTACTTACTTCCTGTACTTACTACCGGGGCGCAGTGCATGAATTCAAGGAGGAAAACCCAGATGTAGATCGGAGATGTAGCCAAGCCAAGCAGACGACCACTAGTGCGACAGGACTATTCGGACCAAGAACTCTTGGGAATGGGACAGCCAGTGAGTCAGTCAGTTGGGGATTGCGGATCATTTCAGTTTGCTTCTCCTTCCTTCCGTCCAGACTAACTGGGTACATACATAGTAGTAATTAATGGTGCTTACTGGATTTTCTGGGAACGGAAAGGGGTTGTGTCCGTCTGAAAATAAAGTATTTATCTACTGTTGGGGGATGTGCTCTGCTCGGCGCGGCAGGGCGGGCAAGGCAACGTGATGCAACGGACCCCTGTGGTTGGTGTTATCGGCATGAGGAAAGAATCATTCCGATTGATTGATTTTATTGAAGCTGCGTGGGCTTATCAATACAGTGACGATGAAATGGGCTGGGCTGGGCTCGGTTGGACAATTATTAACTTCCCTCTTCCCATCTAGGCCGGTGAAGGCGTCATTGATATCCAAGCGTTGAGGGGAGGGAGGGGGGGGGAGGTATACAGTGAGTGAGTGGGCGGTGTTAGGTGGTGTTAAGTCAGTAGTCCACCGTTCTCCGTAGCTACTGTAACTGTGATCTGGCTGCTACTAGTCTAGTATCTTCTGGCGTGTATCGGCTAAAGGGCCGACGCCAAGCGTGGTGTGAAAGTTGCCAGTAGTGTCCGGTTTAGTTATTCTTAGCCATTCATCTTATCTGGGAGGGCGCTGGTGCCTCCCACACTAACTGCTATGGAGTATGTATGTCCACCCAAACTTCCAGCCACCCGGGGAATCCACACCGTCTGGGATAGACCTATTACTCCTTCGGCTTCCTGTCACGGGGAGGAATTATAGTTCTGGCTGTTCTCTCCCCGGCTTTCTCTTTGGCCGGAATTTATATTATGGGGGTGCGATGAGCAGCAGGAGGAGGATAAGCTTGCTGGTGATGCTGATGATGATGATGCTGATGCTGATCCTGTTACTTGATATCGATGATTCAGAGGAATATGATAAAGCCCCCTCCAAGTCTCCATATTATTCTTCAAAAAAAGGCCGGAGTTAAGCGCACGCCGAAGGGCGGCCGAACGAAGGGGGGGACAACCTCCGACTGTCGGGCGGAAGGGGCCCGTCTGGGAGCAGCTGCAGACCGGTACTAAGTAAGTAGTCAAATAATCTCAAGGATGATTGCTTGGGAGAAACTCCGCTGGGGGTGGAAATAGAGTCCCTGCTGGAGACCCCCGTAATAAAACGGTTTGCGTTCGTCTTCCCCCGGTTTGTCTGGGCGTTCGGAGCTCCGAGGGTCTGTCACACCTTACCTTACGGTATCAGCCATTCAGTCTCCAAACCCACATCCCGCCAATCCTCCCCCTCCGTTTCCCCCATACACGCTCCGTCCAAAAAAGTAACTGAACTTACTTGCCTCCATCCACGCCCAGAGGCAAAAAAAAAGGGAAGTAAAAAAAAAAATAAAGGGAAAGCAAGTGGGAAAAGAAAAAAAAAAAAAAAGACACCACTCCCACCACAGCCTCTCCCTCCCACACCTTCTTCTCATTCATCATCCTGCATCCTGTCAGCATTACCCTGTCTCTGCGACCGCAACGCACTTCTTTTACTCGTCCTTTTCCTTCCATGATTGCCTGTGTGTCCTGTTGCTCGACCATCGCTTCGGAGGTCGTGGGTTGACGCAGCTCTCTTTACTTACCTACCTATACCTAACCTACCTCTCTCTCTCTGACTACGACTACTTCAATCTCCACTCCCCCGGCGACCTTTTGACCTGTCTTCGGATTCCCTCCGTCTTGCTTCCGACCGGTTTCTCTTATCAGTCCCTCCTCCCCGCCGAATTCTTTATTTCCTCCCAGAACCGGTATCATATCGCTCTTTGTATCCCACCCTACAATTGTCGGCTTCTTATACCCGGCCTGAAATGGTTCACTCTACGAGCGAGGAACGCGCTGTACATTTGACACGGGAGGCTGTTGAGTTAATTGATGCTGGCCATCGTGAGGTATGTCTGGTCTCCTCGCTTTTTTTTCCCCTTTATCAGACCCCGCTGGGTTGTTATCATCCGTCGCCAGCATAGGTACCTTCGTGCCATGTGACTAACCACTCGTTCGTGATGTCATTGCAGGCCGCCTCACGAAATCTCCGAGAAGCTCTCTCCTTAGCTCCAGAACATCCGGCAGTCAAGGAAGCTTTCGTGAAAATCCAGCAGGAAGAGGAGAATGGCCATCACCTGCTAGATCTCTGCCGACGCTATACCGGTGGCAAGGACGAGTCCGCGGGCAAAGACGCCGCCCTTTATCTCCGTACCGACGGACTCAAGCCTCCCGAGGAGGTTGCATTGGAATGTGTCAAGCTCCTGCTGGCGCAAAGGCCCCATGCCTTGTCGTCGCTGCAGGATGACATTATCTCGGGGCTGGTCCGCCAGAACACCAGCGTGCGGCGCTACTTCTCAGAGCAGCTCCAGGTGTCGGTGACCACGTTCTTCGATGAGATTTACGAAAGAGGCGACGGCGCTGCCGTATGCCTTGACACTGTGGTCTTGGACCCTACTGTGTGGCCGTCCGAGGATGCTCGTCTACACTGTGAGCGCGAGCTTTTCTTGCTCTTCATCGCCAAGCTCATGGAGTCGGGCCACGATATGGACGGTCGCTCCCTCAAAGGAATCGCGCGTTTGCTTGCCGTCGATGCGGCGAAGCTGCAGGAGTTGGTCGACGATGAAGGACTGGACGTGATCCTGTCCTCTTTGGACAGCCGGCTTCCCCTCGAGTGGAGGAGTCAAGCGACTCTAGCAACCGTCAAGTACCTTGAAATCTCCAGGCAAGTTGGCGAAGAGAGGTTCTCTCGGCTCGTAACTGCCAAGGTTGTCAAGGGTCGCAGCGATGATTTGATCGAGGCATTCTCGGCCACGGCTGCGGTCTTTCCCGTGATACCAGAAGTCGCGGCCAACCTTTTCCTATCGGAGAGCTACCTAGCGGCTTTGGCGCCTTTGACCTCCAGAGACGCGAAGAGCCGCAAGGTCGAGCCCCATTTTCTGGAATTGTTGAATGCCGCGTGCATGAACAAGGCCTGTCGGGAAGCAATTTCAAAGCATCTTTCGACCTGGCTTTCTCACCTTCTCACCAATGGCTGTGATGAGAGCTCCGAGATGGCGGCGGTCATCTTGGCCAAGGTCCGTACTGCTGCCCAAGTTGGTCCTTCGGACTCCAACGGCAAGGTAGAGGAAGATAACAGCCGGGTTACCGAGCTGGTCGACCGCTTCAAGGATTTGATGTCGAAGCGTAAGACCGAGAATCTGTCAAACGTGATCGAGGGCTTAGCCTATGCATCTGTAAAGGCCACCGTCAAGGAACAGCTCGCCAATGATGTGGCATTCTTACAGGATCTCATCAAGATTCTGCGCGAGAATTGCGCCGATTCGTCAGTGCTTTACGGTGGTCTCATGATCATTGTGAACCTCACACAATTCCCACCCACTTTGACAGAAGAGCAGAAGAAAATGTCCCAACTCAAGTCTTATGCCGAGGCCTCTCCTAGCGGGGCCCGAGCAAAGCCAGATCCCCTTGATGACGAGCAACATGTCATCGCACGTTGCAGTGCGCTCATCAAGGCAGGTGTCATGCCTCTTCTGGTAGATTGCGGTAAGACAAATCTCTCCTCGGTGCAAGGTCTCATGGGAAAGATCGTCCTTGCCCTGTCATGGGACCGAAAGTCTCGGGGAACCTTGGCACAGCAAGGTGCTGTCAAATTCTTGCTCGTTATGGCAGCCGCGAAGCAGGGGACCCCGGGGACAAACGCCACCGAAGCGGTACAGAATGCATCGCAAGCACTCGCGCGAATTCTGATCTCCGTCAACCCGGTCCACGTGTTCCCCTCCTCGGGCTTCCCGCAGATCACATCCGCTATCAGGCCTCTGACCGCGCTTCTGGTAAGCCCGGAGACGACTAGTCTGACGGCGGAACAACCGCGGAATCTTTTACCGGTCTTTGAGAGTCTGCTTGCTCTAACAAACCTCGCCTCCCATCCAGACGAGACTGCTCCCGAAGCTATCGTCCGCCAGGCCTGGCCCGTAGTAGAGGATCTCCTGCTCTCCAGTAGTCCCATGGTTCAGCGAGCTGCCTGCGAGCTCATCTGCAATTTGATGACGTGCGAGTCCGGCATCGTCAAATATGCCGATGGCTCTAAGCGCGCGGCGCAACGGCTGCATGTGCTGTTGGCTCTCACCGATACGGACGATATGGCAACCCGCAGCGCTGCTGGCGGAGCTCTTGCGATGCTGACCGAATTCGAAGCAGCCATTGCCGGAATCCTGGAACGGCCGCGGGGTGTCCAGCTACTGCTGGCCCTGTGCCAGGAAGAGGATGAAGGTTTAGTGCATCGCGGCGTAGCCTGTGTGCGGAACTTGACCTGTCTCGCCACCGGAGATATTGGCCGGCGGGCCAAGGAAGCCATTAAGGCAAACGGAGGAGTTAATATATTGAGCAATGTGCTGAAGAAGACGAAGAACCCCGCGGTACTTCAAGTCGGGGTCGAAGCCTTGAAGCCATTGGTCGAATAGATAGCCGACAACCGAGCGGCGTCCTCTGCTGGGGTATCTCCCGGCGGTTAATACATCTCTATGGTTCCTTTTGGGTGATTTGGATTTGATTGTGATAGCGGGTCTTTTCGATTTGCAAATCATGGGCTGGGGCTCCGTGATTTTTGGTGTTCTGTCACGTTCTATGTTGTTTTATGAAGATCTCCTTGCGGCGTTGGTAGTTTACTTGCCCGGTGTTTCCATTATTGTGATCTCGTTTTTCCTTCTTATGTCACGTTGTGTGACCGACGTCGAATTTGTCTATAAATCTGGGTTGTTTATGAGCGTGGGAAAGGTGTCCGGGTCATTGTCGACAAGAATTTCAAGCGATATGGGGGATTATCGAGTGGGATTCCCTTTTTCTGACAGCGCCATAGACCCGGTTGACACGATAATTGCCGTGTCTAGTTTACTCAAGTAACTATCTACTCGTTCTAGCTGAATGATACTCACGATGCAATGCGCGGTTTTTGGGGATCCGTCGGGAGACGAGTGTCCCATTCGGAAGCGTCCGGATCCTTGTCTCTGCAGTCAGCCTTGATAGGAATCGATGGTTGTCGGGATGGTGTCGCACTGGCCTCGACACCAAAATACGCAACCTAGAGCGGGGCTCACTATAGGATTCATGTCCCGTGTAGATGCTTATTATGTTGCAGTTGGGAGTCAAGTCATGTTGGATCATCTCGGCCTTCTGTGAGGGTTTCTTTATTGCGGCCTAGTACTACTGTAAAGTCGTTGGAATGCCGCTGATAACCGAGAACATCGACATAACGTTCGTAACTAAGTACTCCGTAGTAGTATTACTTAAGAAGCTACGGACTCATTGTATATAAGTCGCAAAGAAGCCAAAGTTACAGTATGGCTGACACTAACCCCCAAGCTAGTATTCAGTAGTAGTCCTTACTAGTCTACACAGCGAGCAGGAGATCCGTTATGGAGGGGAGGGGAAAAGAAAGTGACAGATGATAAGCTTTCCCGCTGGTCGATCGTTGCGAAACGAGCTGAGTGGATGAGTGCAGTGATCAACAAGTGATACATCGGAGGGGAGGGTGTCGGAAGTCGATGGTCAGATACATGGTCTGCTCCCCACCCAGTTGTGATAGTCACCTAATAACATAGTTCATTATATACGAAACCTGAGCAATCAGTGGCATTCCCTCCAAAAGACTGAAACCCTCCGAAAAATGATCACGATGTTGGATATCGGAGGAAGGAGAAACCCAAGTCAGGAACGCAACAAGAACTTTTCGGAGTTTCAAGAACCTCACCGACAACTAGAGGAGGGAGCATGTGACGTGCATCATGGTCGAATTCCCACATCTTCCATCCATTCCATGCAGGCCAAGTTTCCACCCTCACGATGCTGAATGGTTACTTGCTTGCCTTTTCTCTTGCCCAGCCTGAAGTTCCCCCACAGAAAGTGGCCCCCCCTTTTTGATTTTCCCTTTCCCCCTCCCTTCTAGCCCATCATCATCCTGCGCCCAAGAGAAAGCGGTGTTGGGAAGGAGGAGACGGAGAGGAGATGATGATCATGAGCCCTCTCCCCTTCCCTCCACTGGGCGATTAATATCTCACGTTATTGACATGATTGGATCCCTTCAGGCCCTAGAAGTGGGTGGCGGGTGGTCCGGCTATATATAGGGTGGGGATTCTTTTGCTGGATGGGGGTTCCAGACTCATACTAACTCACTCTGACGGGATTGTTACAGAAGTTAGTATCTACAGCTACTAACTAGTAACAAGTTTCAAGTTGGATGGAGTGGAAAGAAGAATCACTGCAAGATCCGGTCCTTTCCTAGTGGTGATCTGTTGGTCCAGTTACCTTCTGCTCCTCACTCTTGGAGTGAAAAGGATCAGCTTCTCTCTACCGGTGGACTCACCCCAAGAAAATAATCATCGTCATTATCATCATCCAGATTCCCCCCGTTCTTGCATCCATTCATTTACCGCCATTTGAGCTCTCAGATTATTGGCATTCATCCCGTGCCTTGCAAACTCGAATTTTTGCATCGCTTCATCCGGTGGTTCGAACCGTTCATCCGCCCAGCGCCGCGGGCAAATCAGAGAGCGTCCGCCGGGCAGCAGATCCAGCGTCCGGCCATTAATGGCCAGCAATCTGGGATAAGTCCAGGTGAGTCGCCTGGACTGCCTCTTACGTCGCCAGTGGAGTGTATTTGAAGTATCTTTTGTTAGTCACGATGGAGACCGTGTCTAACTAGCGAATTCGCTAGCACCACCTTAGACTTAAAGACTATTTGGCCTCGGCCCTTTGCTCGCCCCTCTCTCCCTCTTTCTTCTGCTTGCTAAGGTGCAGCTGGAATTGCTGGACCTGCTGGAACTTCTCGAAGCTCCAAAAACCGTCCCTTTGGGCACGTGCTGATAGGTTCCGTCGGTTGGCCTCCTTTATCGGGAGTCGCCTTAACTACTTTACGATCAAGTAGTATATGCCCTGCGCTTTCTTTCATCCTTCCCTCTCAACCACACTAATTCCTTCGCCGTGTTTCGTGTTTCTCCTTTTCCTTTTCTTCTTCCTCAATATCTTCCTCTCCGAATCACGGCGTGTCCCTGAAGCCGTCCAATTTCTCAGGTTTTCACCTCCCAGATTTCAGCTATCTCTTCTACCATTCTTCATGTCTCCGCAATAAAACTGACACATGGCGCTCTTCTCCTTCAAGCTTCACCTGTCCTTTTCCTTTTGTCTTTCTCGCATTTGCCCGTCGAATAATATTTGATCTACGTGGCATTTCTATCGTTGGGTTCGTGGGTTCAAGTCTGTTCTCCTGAATCTCACTAAACCAAAGGAAGCCGTGGTGTCTTAGATCTCAGATTTATATACCTCCCCCTCAGAGTCCTTTCTCATTGGTTTCTCTCTCACCAACCACTTGAAACAACTTGCATACACATTCATCCAAGATGAAGTTCGGACGCCAATTACCCCGCAACGTGGTCCCCGAGTGGGGCTCTGAATACATCAAATACAAGGCCTTGAAGAAGCTCATCAAGGCTGCGGCGGACAATGTGAAGGCTGGCAAGGAGGCGGACCTTGCTGGTGAGTCGCTCTTTGAATAGTTGTGTCGTCCATCACAATGCGATCTTAGCTAACTCTGTCGCATAGGTTTCTTCTACTCCCTCGATCGAAATCTCGAGGATGTCGATCACTTTTACAACAAAAAGTACGCCGATTTCTCCCGCCGTCTGAAGTTGCTGGAAGACAGATACGGGCAGTCTTTGGATGGTGGTCAGCGATTGGATTCCGAGGATGTCGAAGACCTGCTGGCTGCTTTGCTGGAACTGCGTAGCCAGATGCGTAAACTGCAGTGGTACGGCGAGCTCAACCGTCAAGGATTCATCAAAATCACCAAGAAGCTCGACAAGAAGGTTGGCGCTCAGGCGCAGCAGAAGTATCTGCAGACCAAGGTCGACCCAGCGCCGTTCGCTTCGAACACCCGGGTCACTGACGCGTTGAGGAAGATCAATGACCGCTTGTCCGTCCTGGGCGAGCAGAAGATCGACGATGATGCGAGCTCCATACGCTCCTCCTTGTCATTGAAGAAGGGTCCTGCGCGCCCCAACTTAAACTTGCCTGCAAGTATGCTTCAGACCGTCGATGAGGCGCTGCGCAAGGATGATACTCATGTGCTGCTGGAGTTACTTGTAACTCTGAAAGCGGCGGCAGATGAGTCGGGAGAAGATGTATACCCTAAGGTCCTTAACAGCCTCCTTCAGCGGTCCATCAACTACCGTTCCACGAGCTGCATCTCGGTCCTTCTGGGTCGCATGGACTCTCTGGACGAAGAAGATGATATAAATAGGCGCAATTGTATTCATCGCTTGGTGATATCGATTGGCCGGGCGCAGTCTACCACAGACTCAGAGCAGTCTGCGTCCATGGTCCTGGACTTCCCTCTGGAAACGTCCAATTATATCACCCCGGCTGCGCTGCCGACCCTCCAGCCCCCTCGCCCAGTCGTGATGGAGGCGGACCACCCTAGTCATTTGGATCGGTCCGATCCCTCTGTGTCGCTTTTGCAGTATCTCTTGGATCAGCTCCTGCCCAATCAACGAGGTGCCCTCGTCGCCAAGGACATTGCGGGACGCACGCCGCTACACTACGCGGCGCAGTATGGATTCAAGGTTGTCTGCGAAGTCATCATCGAGCATTTGCAGGCGTGGGACCTGTTTGATGTGACCGAGGGCATTGATGGTCCGCGCTGGCAAGACAACGATGGTTGGGCTCCGTTGCACTTGAGTGTTGTTGGGGGCCATCCGTTGACGACCCGTGCCCTTCTCGAGGCAGAGAATTGGCATGGTGCCAACAAGGACAAGGCGAAGATCCGCAAGCAAGTCTCACGGTCTAGCGCAGTACTTGCTTTGGCCACCAAAGCCAACTTTGTGGACATTGTCAAGTTATTGGTTGAGGCCGGCGTGGATATTAACTACCAGGACGAACAAGGCGAAACTGCGCTGCATGTTGCAGCCCGGTTCGGCCATGATAAATGCGCCAAGATCCTGCTGGATGGCAACAGCGAACAGAAGGCTGACACAGAGCTTGCGGAAAACACATACTCCTGGACTCCTTTGTTTATCGCTTGTGTTGATGGCGCGCTGAGAGTAGTGGAGCTGCTCATCGAGGCCGGTGCCAATCTGGAGCGATGCGATTCCTCTGGCTGGACCGCGAAGGAGCATGCCTCTCTGAGAGGTCACCTTGACATCGCTCGGTGTCTTGCCAAGGTCACTCCCGCGCCGGATATTAGTGAGTCGGAGCCTGTGATCCCTGTGCCCCCCGTGGCCTCTGATCCGCCCTCACCTCCCCTGTCGTCGCTTGCCGAGAGAAGATCGAACGGTACTCCTGCTGCGAGCTCTCTACGGAACGCAGAGCCTATCAAGACCTTTGGACACCGTTATCTCACCGATGAATCCATGGTTTTGGTTAGCCTGGGAACCATGGACATGCGGACGCATACGGCAGCAGTCAACCTGGACCGTATCCCGATGGAGAATGCGCATTCCACGCAACTTGACACTGCTTTGTCTCTGGTGGTCTCTGCTAGCAGAGCTCGTGGAGAGCCGGAGGTGATCGATCTCCCTGTCCAGGAGAATATCTCTACCGAACCCATTGTCTTTCATGCCGCCGACGCTACGAAGGTCAGACTCCTTTTTGATCTGATTCCCACGTACGCAGGCTCGAAAGACAAGGTGGTCGGGCGTGGTGTTGCCCTACTTTCCAGTATCAAACAATCGGTGGGATCGAACCGTATCAATCTCAAGGGCGACTCCACAGTTCCTATTGTGGCTGCCAACACCCTCGAGGTCATTGGTTCGGTGACTTTCAACTTCCTCATCATCACACCTTTCAAGCATCCCAACATGACGGTTACCGGAGAACAGACCTACTGGAGGAGTATGAGCTCAACGATGGTGATCGGACATCGTGGTCTAGGCAAGAACATGGCCAGTCGAAATTCGCTGCAGCTGGGCGAGAATACCGTCCAATCATTCATCGCTGCCGCGAACTTGGGCGCTTCCTATGTGGAGTTTGATGTGCAGCTCACAAAGGATCATGTTCCTGTCATCTACCATGATTTCCTCGTCAGCGAGACGGGTATCGACGCGCCGGTCCACACCCTTACCCTAGAGCAGTTCCTCCAGTTGGGCGACAAAGGTCCATCTCGCAGGCCGGGATCCCCGGTACCGGGTACGGACGGCATTGGAGAGGGGATGGCCGCTGCTTTCCGTCAGCGGTCGATGTCTGTAGGCGGTTCCGAGTATGACCCTACCGAACTCAACGAAAAGATCAAGCATACCCGCGATTTCAAGAAGAAGGGCTTCAAGGGAAACAGCCGCGGCAACCACATTCAGGCCCCATTTGCCACATTGGCAGAGTTGTTCCAGAAGCTGCCCAAATCGGTGGGCTTCAATATCGAACTCAGTGAGTACCTCTTCCCATGAAAGAACAGTTGCACGACGATCTGACCTAGATCGCCAGAGTATCCTATGCTCCACGAGAGCGAGGAAGAAGAGATGGACACGTATGCGGTGGAGCTGAACTCCTTCGTGGACACGGTTCTCACCAAGGTGTATGACATGGGTCAGGGCCGGAACATGATATTCTCCAGCTTTAACCCGGACATTTGCCTGCTGCTTTCTTTCAAGCAGCCGTCCATTCCGGTCCTCTTTTTGACGGACTCTGGTGCGTCGCCTGTTGGTGATATCCGGGCCAGCAGCTTGCAGGAAGCGATTCGTTTCGCGTCCCGCTGGAACCTGCTGGGCGTTGTCTCGCAGGCCGAAGCGCTAGTGCTTTGCCCGCGTTTGGTCCGGGTCGTGAAGGAGTCAGGTCTGGTCTGCGTGTCGTATGGCGCCATCAACAATGACCCAGAGAGTGTCAAGGTATGTAGCCCCTAACAGTTGTGTCGTCTATTTACTAACTGTTTGTGCAGCTCCAAGTGGCCGAGGGAATCGACGCTGTCATCGTGGACTCGGTTCTCGCCATCCGTAAGGGTCTCACAGAACACCAGGGCAAAGGCGATACGCCGGGCGTCTCGCCGCAGCCTAGTCCTCTGGCCAGAGCGACATCTGGCTCTCTCAAGGAGTCACTCAACATTCCTGTGTTGAACCAAACGGAGCAGAAAGATGACCATCTACATGTGAAGCCAGAGGCCATTACATCTAACCCCCGATAAACAGCGCGTTATTTGACCATCAGTTAGAATTGGGAAGACATAGTTGAATGCATTCTATTATTGGTCTGTTAGCTACCTTGCAGGTGTCTTAAACATGTAGACTCGTATCTTAGCTCCAGATGCTAGTATCGGTACATTCCGCAGTATAGATCACGTGCGCCGGAGATGTTCCAGCTCCGCGCGGCGTCCGAAGTAATCGCATCTCTGCTACAAAAACTTCTCGATCGGTCATTTCCACCTCACCGGTCATCGAGCGCAGCTTCTTCACATGTTCAAGCCTGCAGCTTGTCAAGCAAAGCTCCTTCAAACTTGATACCCGCAGCCACACAACCACCCCGCAGAAACGAAGCTTTCGAACTACAGCCGCACCGCATACTTCTCCGAGCTCACCTCCACACGACAATGTATACACCTTAGATACCAACCAACAGCTTCAGATCTGCTCTTCCATACCTCAGTCTCCCACACCGAACAAATACACACATACACAAGATGAATACCATCGACGCAACAGAACACTACGAAACCAGCGCCCACGGTACGTCCACCAACCACATACATCCATCACAATCTCATCCCCCTCCCAATTCCAACTTCTACCCTACAAACTAACAAGACGAAATATAGACCGGCCCCCCTCCCTCCTAACCATCATCCTCGACACCAACCCACACGCCTGGGCACTCCTCAACCCCTCCCTTCCCCTCTCCACCGCCATCGCCAACATCCTCGTCTTCATCAACGCCCACCTAGCATGCAACTACGCGAACGAAGTAGCCGTGGTATCCTCACACACCTCTCAAGCAACATGGCTCTACCCCGTCGAAAAAGCCACCACCACCACCACCGCCAATAACCTAGACTCCGACGGCGACATCTCCATGCGCTCCCAACAACCACCTCCATCTACTCACACCAACATAAACAAATACCGCCCCTTCCGCATCGTCGAAGAACAAGTCTCCACGCACCTCCACAACCTAATGTCCCAAACCACCCCAGAAACCCTCCAATCCACCACCTCAACTATGATGGCCGGCGCGCTTACCCTAGCACTAAGCCACATCAACCGCCGCACGTTAGCATGGAATGAAGCGCACGGGGGAGATATCGACACGACAAACCCCAATGACCCTTCTTCAACATCCTCCTCATCACATAATACAAAGGGTACTGCGGAATCAACCCTCCAATCACGCATCCTCATTCTCTCTGTGTCAAGTTCCACCGGTTCAGCGCATCAATATATCCCCATCATGAATGCTATATTCGCTTGCCAGAGGCTGCATATTCCGATTGATGTATGTAAGGTGTCTGGCGATGCGGTATTCCTGCAGCAGGCGTCGGATGCGACCAAGGGGGTGTATATGGCGTTGGATGAGCCGAAGGGACTATTGCAGTACTTGATGATGGCGTTTTTGCCGGATCAGAGGAGTAGACGCCATTTGGTGCTGCCTACAAGAGTGGATGTGGATTTTCGGGCGGCGTGCTTTTGTCATCGGAGGGTTGTGGATGTGGGGTTTGTGTGTTCGATTTGTCTGAGTATCTTCTGTGAGCCGTTGGGGGATGGGGTGTGTTTGACTTGTGGGAGTCGGTTGGATGTTAGTGATTATGGGGCTAAGCCGGCGGTGGTGGCTAGAAAGAAGAAGAAGAAGAAGGTTAAGGGGAATGGGATGTCTGCGGCGGGGACGCCTACGCCTACACCGACGCCGGGGCCGTGAGTGTCTTTGTGGGCATGGGATTGACTACGTGGTGAAAAGAAAGTTGCCTATGTACTGGCTACGGGATAGAATGGCCGAGGATTGCCATTGAATGCTTGTTCATTCGGTATCTTCGGCTCGAATTAGCAAATGGTTACTCGCCCCTGCATCCATACTCAGGACCCGTGCGGCATCGCTTTAATCTGGATGTACGCTGACACTTGACAACCAAACGGACGGGGCGTGGCCGGCACGGCACTCGATCATTCTGTCGGCGAACGTCATCGACCCGGAAACAAGCGCTGTAACGCTGTCGGACGCCAAGATGCACATAGTACAGAAGACGCAGGATAGGCTTTATTTAGCTGGTTTTGGGGCCCTGGGTCTGATGTTGTCAGCTTAGCTTGATCTGTACAGTAGCTGTTATCGAATACCTTTTGGCTCTGCAGGCGCGGCCACCCTGGGCAATGGTACCGCCCCCGCCATTGCGAGACATGACACACACGGGTTTCTTATCTACGCTACTCATCGATGCAAGAGCCTGATGTAGTTAGCATTGACCGTCTCTGATGCGGGGCTTCTTACAAAAGAGTCTGTATTGTGGGCGAAGTGGAGGAATGCTCCGTCGACCGTCTTCTTAACCGAAAGGATGCCAATGGCGCCGTTACAGATACTGTTTATGACGCCCGGATGTCCTAAAACCAGCTATTAGCTTGTAAACTGCGAATGTAGATGGCGAGAAGTACCCATGAAATCGTCTGAAATAACCGCTTTCATGGCCTCCTCTTCGGTGACCTCTTCGAATCCGCCCTCTTTACGCTTTCGATGGCTATAGTAGATGCGTGACGCGCAGGTACTGGCGGCCATAGTCGTTGCAATGTGCTCACCAGTCCCCGAAGTGATAGTCGCAACGCAGGTCGCCTCTGAATCGTTAGGGTCCACGGGGAATACAGCAGTCCCGATACCAACAAGCGCGGCAGGGCCAATCCGCCCGCGATGCTTCATCCCAATGCCTCCGGAAGAAGAGCCTGCAGCGATGTTCCCTTTACTGTCTATGGCTATTGCACCCACGGTATCATTGACTCGGTCAATATCCATTGCGTCGACGCCATGGGGAGCTTCGGAAGGAGACAAGCTATTGCGACTCGTAGACATGTTCCCCACAGCAGCGGACCGCGCACCGTCAGTTTGCTTGCCATCATTGACCCTGGGGGCAATGGAGGGTGCTAACTCCGAACCTGCCGGCGGCGTGATACGACGTGGGTCTGCAGTAGGTGCGCTCTTGGTACTCTGAGTGCTTACTCCAGTCGCCGAGGCTGGCCCAGGGCTCGAAGCCGCAGAGAGCAGCTGGGCCGGATTGACGGTGGGGGGCCGGCGAAAGTGCGAGCTCAGGCGGGTATGTTCTCCAGACTGCTTCCTCTCCCGAAGAGTAGCGGCTTCCAGATCACGTTTCCAATGAGTCCACCTTTCTCGAGCCGACGGAGCTACTAGACCGTCAGGGGGCAGCACCACCAGCCCGTGTTCGTAGGCAAAATCCGTAGCACCCTGTCCCACTAGGAAATTTGGAGGTACTCGGGCTAGCGAGAGCGACTTCGAGGAAGCGTCAAGGATGACCCGCGCAAGGGAGATGGGGTTCTTGACCTCTACACCAAGTCGTTAGCACTGAGTAGTTGACCTTACAGATCGGTTCGGGACTAGAGAATAGATACTCACGACCGACAGCACCGACAGCACCACTGCGTCCTAGATGATTGACGACAGTGGCATCGCACTCGACGGTGCCTTCAAGGTTGAGGTTGCTACCGTAGCCTGCGTTGGTCATTTCGCTATCCTCTAGCATCATGATGGCGATCTCAACAGCGTCGACGGCCGATCCACCGTTCTTCAGCATCGACATTGCTACTCTCGCCGCTCTGCTCCTCGTTAGCTCGGTTTGGACTTGACCCTCGAAGGCGTGAGTTGGGCGTGGAGAACTCACTTCTCACAGGTCTCTAGATGCGCTTTCTCATTGTGCGGGGCATGAAAGCCGGCTCCCGCATGAACGAAGATAGCAGAGATATCTCCGCTTCCCTTTGAGCGACTCATTGTAGAACTCAGTCGCTGCGCTCTGAGGCGAACTGAGAGGTGCAACCTTGTGAAGCACTGGAGAAAACGACGCAGTCCTGGAGGCCGTGAGTGCTTCAGGGCGGGAGGCCCCGGCAACTCACTTCTTGAGGTTCTCTCCGTGGTTTTGGTACACGTAGACTTGCAGGGCTGGAGTTGGAATCAAAGCTGGGACGAAGAGGGTAGAAGAGAGCAGAAGGTGGGATGAAAAAAGGAAGAAGCGGACTCGTCAACACACACAAGAAAAAATTGAGTGTTCAGAGAGAGACGCGGGTCTCTTGCTGCCAGCCTGCTGCCGGGACGATTGGTGATCCTCTGAAATCAAGCGGCGTATTTGTAGTGAACGCAGACGTGAAACGGTGATAATAACCGTTAAGGATAGGTTTGATATAGTAAGAATGATCAACCTAGGATGCGGAGCGGGAAAGACAGAGGGAGGAAGAGAAAGGGAGATAGGAATCAGGTAGTAGAAGTGTTCAAGAGAGGGTTTAAAGATACTGTAGGCATTAATTGTATAGCAGAAGGGGGATGGTGAAGCTCAAACAGCTGGATAGGAT